TTTATTCAAACCTAATAGTTTTTCCAGAGTTTTTGGTTTTAAACGCGTTGGAAGTTATGGGTTCAACCAATCTTTTGGTCAAACCAATCTAACTTTGGCAGGGTTTTTAGGGCAAACCAATACACGTTTGTCACATTAGCCATCTTGTGGCTCACCTGAGATATCGAAGCAAAGCAAGAGACATTACAATCAGATGGGGAGCTCTTTCACTGTATACGTCAACGTTAAAAACAACTCTTTTATCAGATCATCAGAACAGTAAGTTCATTTATACCCCTAGATAGCTTTGCTTTGTAGCGGTTATAAATACATTCACACACAGATAAAAAAAAAAACAACAAAAAATATTAAACATTGACTCCACAGTCAAATCAACAACTCCAGCAGAGGAGAGCCTAGTTTAATTATCAAGATGCGTAGGAATAGGTATATCGCAGGCTCTCAGCCATTTAGTTTATTGGAAAATAAATCTTCCCAAAGGTTAGAGGACAGTAACTCTTGTGGACTGAACTTGCTCACCACTGCTGCAGAGAAAAAGCCTAGAGCTCAGTCTCCTTGTGTTCTTAAGAAAATGTTTACCCAAACTCCAGACATCAGAGAGTCTGTTCTTATTATTCCACATATCTTGTTACACGTCTGTAATCAGGCCTCCTTCAGCATCACCATGGAGCCATCAGGAAACTCTACAAGCAACCACACGTCAAACTCAACCGGTGCAGAGGGTTCATGGGAGATCAGCGACAAGACTAAACTGTGCAGATTCCTCTGCTACGGCTCTGAGGGTGACATCTACACCGCCAGAGAGCAGGGCCGCGTCTCCATGGACAACGCCGGAGCGCTGCTGACCTTGCTGCAGGATGGGAGAGGTGCAGAGGTGGTGGAGGAGATAAAGCACTTTGCCCTAGAAGGTCGCGCAGTCAGACCAGGTCCGGCCCTCTTTGCCCTGGCTTTGTGCTCCCAACATTCTGAGCTGAAGACAAGGCAGGCGGCGTTCAAAGCCTTGAAGGAGATCTGTAGGGACCCCGCCAACTTGTTTTCCTTCGTTCAGTACAAAAAGGAGCTGAAAGAAGGCATGAAATGTGGGATCTGGGGGCGCGCCCTGAGGAAGGCCGTGTCCGACTGGTACAATGAGCAAGACCCCCTGAGACTGGCTGCAGCTGTGACCCGATGTAAACAAAGAGAGGGCTGGTCTCACCAGGACCTGCTCAGGCTCTCCCACACAAAACCAGCCACTGATGGTGAGTGGGTGCTGATAATTTTAACATATAGGGGGGTCGGAACAGTGATGTGCAATGCTTTGTGATTTCAGCTGTTGCCTTGATCAGCAAATATGTAACAAAGGGGTGGAAGGAGGTCCAGGAGGCTTACGCAGACAAGGAGAACTCGGAGGAGGTTGTCCAAGTGCTTTCCTATCTGGAGGTGGTGGAAAAGGCCAAACACAGCTGTGATGAGCTGGAGGTCAGCGGTTTAATAGAGGAGCACAAGCTGGAGAGGGAGCAGCTGCTCACAGATCATCTGAGATCAAAGCAGGTAATCTGTTTTATTAGTAATTTTTTATCTTTTATTGATGGGAAAATATCAGTTTTATGAGCAAATAGAAAGCTATCTTTGAGCTTTCTACTTTTGGAAACAAGTTCAACCCAGACAAGTTTATTCTTTAGATATGGTGCATTCACTGATTATTTAAAAGGTCATCTTTATTAGTCAGAGAGGAACATATATGTAGTAAATAAGCGGTTTGATTTAAAACACATTAACTACTTTCCACGGAAGTAAACTGCACTCGGGTCAACATTTCTCACTTTTAGGGTGGAACCAACTTTAGAATAGAAACTGCCTGTAATTGGTCACTTTTCATAAAACCCCGCCTCTTTACAGAGTTCAGTTTTCTTCCTAGTTGTGGCGTATAACATTAGCAAAGCATCTTCAAGCTAATCGCTGTTCTCTCAAAGAGTTAAAAATCGGTTTACAGTCATGAATGTGTTCTGACAGCGTTAGCAATGTGGCCTACAATGATTAATGTTAAATTGGTATGAGCTAAGCTTACGTTACCTTTACTATTTATACGGAGGATAATGAGGTTTGAATTAACTCTCATTTATCATGCACGTTTCTATTTATTTTATAAGTTTGCTTCTACTTATGTGCATTTTTTTTCATCCA